GGGAGACTAGCTCTGTGACAGGGACATTCCAGGAGTGCCAGGTTTCCTGCACAGGCCTGCCTTTCAGCTCTGCAGTTTGACACCCGTGTCTTCACCCCGTCACCCTCCTCACAACCTAAATGTGCACAGAACTTTAGATCAGTGTACTATGAGGGATCCAGTGTTTGAATTTTAGAAACTGGAGCATTTACAAAGCAAAATGTGCAGTGACCACAGGATCAGATATGGTAAAATTCTTCATTACCTGTGGAACAACAGTTCTTGAATCTGGGGTGTCGTGCAACCACCAGCCACATTTCTAAGCTGAATCTCCGTACTCACCACTGGTGACAGTTACAGTAATGCAAATTCGTCTTATGTTTAGTCTACACAACTGAAATTGCAAATTTCATGCGATACATCCCGCTGCCCAAGGCAGATAGATAAATGTCGATCTACCACCTCATTGGTCAGTGAGACCAAGACATTGCAGCAGCTTCTGCCTTCTCCCCCCCCAGCCTGCTGCAATTCTGTACTCCAGCGGTCTCCAGACCTTTGGAGTCTACCGATGGTCAAAGAGAGACTCGGGGCTCCAACAAGGTCACTGCCAACTTTCCACACCTTTCTATTTTGCCAAGTAAGAGTTAAAACCAAGCATCATACACCATCAGAATCATCTCATAAAAGGAGGACTATTTTTCAACACCAGGAAAGTTGGAAATACTTGACCACACACTAAAGGATATGCCTTTACACTGAACCATTTAGCTTTAAGAAATTTCACTCCACTGAATTCACTTATTTTCTTTTCTGGCAGATGGGTGAAAACTTCTTTGTCATACTTGGGAACCACTGGTTTAATTACCTTCAGGGAAAAGAAATCTAATCAACAGAAAAGAAAGGCAAAGAGGGATAATAATGTGATATTTTTAGGCACAATGAATGAGGAAGTGCTTGTTTCCTTTAAAGTTTCAAGATCTCACCAAGATGGATATGTTTTTAATACTCTAGATTAGATTAGCTCAGGCCATTCTATTTTTATAAATTAATCTATCTTACTTGCAAAAGAACTGTGGCCTTGCATTTTCACTCTTCTGTTGCAGAGGGGATTAATGAAGTCTTTTCTTACCTTAGTCTTCCTGCATCTACTGGGTCTTAACTAATTAGTAGAATACAGAGGTCATCTTTCTACAAATAGTCATGCTTCCATATGCTGAGGATTTCTCTCCGCAGATCTGCCTTGCTCTGAAATATCACTGGCACATTCCTAACAAGACTGAAACAGAGCAAAGTGAAGTTGTGTCACACTGTAGGTTCTTTTAAATGGATGGCAGTCCCGTGGTAAGAACTGTGCGGGTCAAATGTTGCGTTTTGTACCCACAAGTAAGTGTCAGAAAGTAACCTTGAGTCAGCAGCGCCTTTGTCATGGAGGGCGCTGGGGCCGTAGGGATGATCCAGGAGGCCTGGTGCGCTCTTGCGTCGTCTGGTGAACTCAGATCAAAGCCGCCTGGAGAGGTCACTAGAGCTGCTGTGCTCATACCTGTCACCAGTGTGTACAGAAAGCCCAAGTGTTGCCCAGAATGCAGTGGTTGGTCCTTGAATGCCTTTGATCCTTATCTAGAAATTCTGCTAGCATATGTCATATAATTGAGGTATGGCCTTTTATTGCTGCAATTAAAACTTTTCAAATGCATTATACTATCTCAACCCAAGCTAAAAGTCCTGACCATTGTTTAAAAAGTGAGGTTAGGGATTTGTCAGATGCTGTGGTTGACTTTAGGGGCTGCCGCTCCCACACCCTCCCGCAGGAGATTTCTCTTACTTTTTTTCATTTACATCTCGCCAAACAGCATAATGGTCTTAAAGTTTGTTTAGTCCTTTGGCTTCCTTTATCACATAGAGATGGCAAACATTCTGTTGCTAACTTGAAGTGGCTCCAAGCAGCAAGACGGGGAGGATATTAAACCAGTAAAAGCTTATCAACTGATTCATTGATATGCTGTAAATTCCAGGCTTTTCACTTGGCTTTTGAGGGCGGCCGTAAGTCAACACATTAGTAAGCAATTGCTGACATCAAGATGGATGCTGAGAGGGGCCTCCTGGGCAGACAGAGTTCACCTGGGCACTTTTGTTAGGATATTTTTTTTACTGTTTAGCCAGGATGTACTTGTAAATGACCAGTAATTGCTTTATATATCAATAACCTGAATTTGTAATGACTTAATTTATCAAATATCTGAAATGTGAGACTTAAAAAGAAAAATATAAGAAGATACTCATTTTTTTAATTGAAAAATGTATGTATCTTGTCCATAGAATTAATATTAACCCCTAGTTTGAAAACTAGACCTCGATCGTCTTTGCATGTGTGGTGCTTGCCTTTTCAATCACGGAAGGCCTCTGACCCGTGTGACAGTGAGGCAGTAAACAGGAGAAGAAGGATGCTAATCACACAGGAATTCGACATTTAAGAAATATTTCATAATAGCTACACTTAGGACACTGCTCTGACCTGGCCACGATAGGTAGTCCGTAAATATATAATGATTTAAGTTTTTAAAATATTACCCTTGCTAACTTTCCAATACTTGAAGCACAAGAATAAAGACAGTCACATCAGTTCACTTTTAGAAATTTACCATAAATATATCCTGAAGGATTTTCGGTATGTTTATTAACAAGCTAACGTCAATGTTATAATTAGAAGCCAAACATTGATGCCTCACTGAATCTTGACACGGCAGGTTCCTTCAGCATCATTCCACGCAGACACTGTCCTTTTTTTTAATCCCCACAAAGGAACCTGTACTGCAGTCCTTTAGAATATGCACATTAGGGCATGTATGTGTCTCCATTTCTAATCTATTGCAAACTTAAAGTCGACATTTTTTATTGAACGCTAAGGGCCTCGCCAAGATGAATCTAAGGAACGAGGAGATAAGAAATACACACAGGAAAAAGGTATGAGCATCCAGCCGGTGACAAGTGTCAAGCGAAGGGGCCAAAAGTGCTCTCTGGGCGTCCGGAGAGAGCGCACGTCCAGCCCAGGCGCGGGGGACGCACGGCCGTGCGGAGGTCGCAGAGACGGAGGAGCATGACGGTCATTCGTGGGCTGAGTGAGTCTGGCCAGACCGGAAGATCCCTCTGGCAAAGTAGTGCCTTTCCTGAGGAGAGGCGGGGGCGAGGCTGGGGAGAAGCTGGCATCAGCGATGGAGGGCGAGGTGGGGACGGCAGTGTCCCCTGCAGGCGGTGAGGGTGACGGAGCAGCTGGGGTCGCCTGGCCTACGCCTGCCCGCCCCTCCTCTGCCCCTGCACCTCGCTGTCAGACCCTCTCTTCCGCACCCTCTCCCGGCCCCACCCCGCCTTCCTGCTGGGTTGGGCGCCCTGTCGTTAAAGGAACAAGATGTGCCCCAGCCCGGCCCGGCCCAGGCTCCTCTGGGACCCATCTATGCTTTCTATCCCTCACCCTGCCACAGCTAAACGGCAGGGTAAAGGCAAAATTACTTAGCTTAGGTTGAATAACCTGCATTTTAAGTCTTTAACCACCACTGCATATAAAGGGGATTGTTATTTTTCTCATTTACGACATGCTTTCCATTTAAGCCGAGGAAGAAAGCATGGTCGTTAACGAGTGTGAAAGTGATGCCAGGTGTGGCGGACAGGAAAATACAAACGAGCACACCTGCGTCCGGCACTGACCCTGCACCTCGCCCGTTCAGAACGTGGTTCCAGGTGGGGAGCGGCTGTTTTCAAGCGGCCTCTGCAGACCCGAGCATCGCCCCGGAGCCCCTGCCTGCTTCCCCACCAGACTCACGGCCTCCTCTGGGTGCGCCCCACCTTCCTGGAGGGAAAGAGGCAGGAAACACTCTTTGACAACGGTATCAGTTTCAACCAGCCGTGTCATGGAGAAACCCCGAAGAGACGAAGGGGCAGGGAGCAGACTAAGGTCGGAGGCCAGCGTGGCCGGCCGGGCGCATTAAGACCCGCCCTCCACAGAGGCACTAGCTGCATCTGCGAAACTGACGAGCCCGTTTCTTCAGCAAGTGTTTCTGCTGTGTCCCCCGTAGTTGGCATACAGAGCGACCGACCCACAGACAAACAGAGGCGGGAACCCGGGGACCCAGGGAGAATTCTGCACGGTGGGCTAGCGTTGAGCGCAGCACTCCCATCGCCTGAGCTGGCAGTGAGAAGGAATGGAGGCGGCCTGCAGCGCAGGGAGGCGACAACAGGGACTGTCCCCACTGGGGCCGCGTGGGACCCAGCGGCGTGCACACCAGCTCCAACTCAAGCCGTGAGAACTCACTCAACGTGTAGGAAGAGCACCACAGAGATACCTCACCACACACGTGACAACATTAACATATATATACAGAGAGGGATATATAAATACTCGTGGCCTCCACATTTACTCCGTTGCTCTCTTAAGTGACCTTTGAAAGCTCACGGGGACACCTCACACTTGGGAGTTGGGTGGTTACGTCTCCAGGAATGATGACTAAAGCTGTGTTAAATAACTTTGACTCAAAAATTAATTGGGAAACTTCTATGATGGCAGTTCTCAAGCATGAGTGAGCATCAGAACCCCGTGGGTGTTGTTAAAACACAGACGGCTGCTTCCTATCTGCAGGTTCTGACCCAGGAGGGCTGGGCTGGCCCGGGAGTTGGCATTGCTAACAAGTTACCAGGTGATGCAGATGCTGCGGGTCCAGGGAGCTCACCTGAGAAGCAGCATTGCGATCCTTTCACACCAACCTGTCTGCTCCAAGTAGCACTTCTGTTCAGAACTAATTTGAGAACATACCTCATAATCTGAGACACTCTGGAACAGAACGTGATCCTTTTTATTCTGAGGTATCATTTTGGAGGAAGAAAAGACCTCACCTTACAGGTCTAAATGGGAAATATCTCACACTTCAAGAAAACCCAATTTACAGAAAACCTGAGTTATAAAATATTAATTGGAAGGCAGCTGTATGCATTTCCAAGTAATTCTTCCTTTTATAAAGTATAGGGAACTCTTCTACTTTCAATAATTTATTTGGAGATTATCAGGTATTTGAAAGGCTGAGGAACAGAGAAAATGAAACACTGCCAGCTGGAGCCCATAAGCTAGGGTCCAGCTGCCAGGCAAGTGTAATTAGAATCAGTAAGAAACAGAACTGGATTCATAGATGGAAAAGCTTCTTCCTCCAGACCTCCAGGTATGGCTGAAAATCAACTGCATGCAAAACCCCAAAACACAGGTGCCTGGATTCAAAGCCCGTGGGCCGCCTGCCGTGTTACAGCACGGCCTTTCCCTGAAACCCAGCACGCATCCTGGTTAACACCCAGGGACCAAGGCTGGGCAGGCTCACTCACCACAGCCGCTGCCCGCGCAGGCTCGAGTCTTCTTGCAGGACAGATGGGAATTGGAAGGGAATACCAGGTCCGTGAAGGCAACTTCTAATGGAGGTGACTTACACAGACATGGCATCCCGCCAGGTTATCCACATAAAAACAAATGAACAGACAAACCACGCACACGGGATGTCCAATAGAGTAGGATACTTGAAATGGGAAAGTCCCCCACGTCCACGGAGAACACGTTCCACGCATCACACTCCTAAATGACTGCGAGGTTCGATGGGCTGAGTTCCTTTCATCCCGCCCAGTTCCGTGAAAGAGCCACAATCTCTCAACCAGGACACTGCTAATTGCTGCAACAAATAAACCCCTAATTTCAGCGACTGAAAATAGAGCTTCAGTGACCTGAGTCACAGCATGCCACCCTGTGAGACACAGATACTCTCCCCCCACCATCCTTTCGCCCTACCATCCCCTGGGCCTCAGAGACCTGTGTGTCCAGCCCAGAGACCCCATTCCCATTGGAAACGCTGTGTCACGTGGCCCCACCTAGCACAGGGGGAATGGGGAATGTGGTTTCTGGATGGGACGCCAACTTCTGCAGACTGCTCTGTGCTGGGGAAGGACGAGCAAGACAGCCATCAGGTGACAGCCACCACTGCCACACCCTTTAAACAACAGATCACCCCTACCACTTACATCAGTCTTCAAACGTTTAACAAAGGAGCTATTGGAGTGGCCCTGGCTTGGCTACCTCTCCGTGCCCAGACATGACGGTCACTCCTTTCTAGTGTATGTCTTTCTGAGCCACCAGGCCACGCTGTCCAGTGCAGGGAGCCACAAGCCACCTGTGGCCGTCCAGTCCAGATGGAGATGTGATGCGCGTGCACAACACGCTCGGATTTCAAAGCCTTTCAGGAAGGAAAGAATATAAAGATCTCAGTAGCTTATTCAACTGATACATTTTGAAGTGATAAATATTTTGGATACGTTGGGTTACGTAAAATATTAAATTTAATTCCACCTATTTAGAAACTTTTCTTAATGTGGCTCCTATAAATTTTAAGATTAGACATGGCTCACGTGACATTTCTTGCGGACGGTGTTGATCTAGACTAGCTGGTGAAGTCTTACATTTCAGAAAGTTCTAAAAACAATTATACTAAAAGGGTTTTTTCCAAGTATATCATACAGCACTTTGAGAAGACCAGGGAGAGAAAAAAAATAAGACCAAATACATCCCTATCCCCAAATCTCTTTAATAAAAACCATTTACTCCTGTGCCCCAGCTGTTCACAGGCCTTTTTCTTTTCTTTAACTTTTTATTGGAGTATAGTTGATTTACAATGTTGTGTTAGTTTCAGGTGTAAAGCAAAGTGAATCAGTTATACATATACATATATCCACTCTTTTTTAGGTTCTTTTCCCGTATGGGTCATTACAGAGTACTGAGTAGAGTTCCCTGTGCTATACAGTAGGTCCTTATTAGTTACCTATTTTATATATAGTAGTGTGTATATGTCAATCCCAGTCTTCCAATTTATCCCTCTCCCCTCACCCCCTGGTAACCGTAAGTTTGTTTTCTAAATCTGTGACTCTATTTCCGTTTTGTAGATAAATTCATACTGAGTGAAGTAAGTCAGGCAGAGAAAGACAAATATCATATGATAGTGCTTGTATGTGGAATTAAAAAGAAAAGGGAAGGGGTACAAATGAACTTGCCCAGTCTTTTCTCATAAGATTCCCTCAACAGCGAACGTAACTTGCCCAAGGTCACTCAGCTAGTAACTGAGAATCTGGATTTGAACCCACAGTGATAATCCAGGTCTTTACAATGTAACTGAAATCCATGAAACTCTTTTTCCTTCCCAGCCCATCTAAGGAGACCAACTTCTGGAATCTTGAAGCCCTTTGGAATCACAATATCACTCACCTATCTAGGCATCCCTGCTAATGTGTATGTTCCTGAAAAATCATGCAGGACTTATGGGAAAATGGGCAAGCCATCTAAAACCTGCGCAACTGTAACCAAAACACTAACAAAAACCCTAAAAAGTTTAAGACGTTAAATTTCTAATAAACCAATAACTATACGACCTTGTCTTTTTAAAAAAGGAGTGGATGGCATCTTGATGGAAGGGTATACACAGAAGACTTAAAGATTCCTAATTTGGGAGATTACAATTCACAGAGATCAGAGAGACTCACACAGTAAATATTTCCAAAGGCCAGACTGAGTCCAGAGTAGGGAGGCTGGAGGCTATCACAGTTTCACTACTTTGCAGTGAGCAACTGTTACCACTTAACGGACCAAAAATGCACACACTTTGGTCCATCTGGGGGAAGTCACACGTGAGTCCACGTACCTCCCACGTGATCTAGGCATGTTGCATTTTACGAATCACAGGTGAGGGAACTTGCACTGCAAATGCGTGCATTCATCCTGGCAATTCTGGTTTGCTGCCATCAGGAGGCAACAGCATGCCACAGCCAACAACTCACTCATTTGTCCTGAGATCACTGTGCTTTTCTAAATCTTTTTGTATCAAAATATAGACTTTTATAAAAGGACTGAGCTTGGCGGAACATTAGAGACTGTATTTAAGGCTAATACTTCTAAAGCAGAACAAAAGTTTGAGATAAAATGTAACACGCCGTCTCCATATTTACGCTAGCAGTGAAAACAGGATTTTAAGGTAAATCCTAAAGGTGTGTTCTGTAGCAAGGGGACATACAATTGTCCATAAACTGATTAACTCAGCTTATTTTTTAAGGTCCTTAGGCAAGGGGTGGGGTTCAAAATTATGATTTTAGAGCTTGGTGAGAAAAGCAGAATGAGTAACCGGTTTGAAAGAAAGAGATAATCTTTCTCTTGGAAAGATTTTTTAAAGTTTTTTAAAGTTTTTTAAAACTTTTTTTTTCTAACTTTCTAAATGTTTTTTAAAAAACATATTTTCAAACGTTCACACTAAAATGATCATTCACAATCTGCAACCACAGGGGAAGATGCTGTGGAGCAAGGGGAAGCGAAGCAGCTCTCATTAGCGATGGCCTGGTGGTGGCCCCAGGAAAGCGGCACTGTGCAGTGACCATCCCTGTGAAGACTAGAGTAACTGGTACCAGACCAGGATGACCATGTGACTACTTGTGCAAAATTCTAATCCTTTCTCCTCTCAACTTCTCATCAATGTATTCCCTGCTAACAAGCAAGGCTTACAACCAGGTGCCCCGTTCTGGTAAAATCTCTGCACCAATTCTCTGGACTTGGAGTGATTAAGGAAATCGCCGTGTGTCTATTTCCCCAAGAAATACTATTCAGAGGCAGGGCCTTAGGGAAATTAGCAGGAAGGGTGGTCGGGACTCAAGAAGGGGCTTCCCTTCAACCTACCTCCAGAACTTCTCACTGCCTGTGAGTAAGTGTGCCCCCGCCGTGTCCCCAGTTCACAGAAATCAGCCACCGCCTGCTGTGCTCTTACCACACGGACATAGACGAGCTCTTCTCAGAGATCGACCGCTGCCTGGCCCTCAACCGCAGCGTGCTGCAGCAGCTGGAGTACACATGTGGCCACGAGCTCACGGAAGAGGACTGGGGGAAGATCCAGACACAGGTAGGCTGTGCCCGGGACAGGGCAGCCAGCGGCTCTGCAGTGCTGCTTGGGGGGGGCACCCACCGGGGGGGGGGGGGCCCGGCCTGTGCCCACAGCACGTGGGGCCCCAGGACCTTCACCACCCACTCTGGGGTGAGCGCCAAGGCCCTTGAGTGTGAAATTCCGCTTTGATGATGGCATTTTGTGAAAGCACAGAGGGAAAAGGCCTCCCCACATGCTCCTCCCCCGCCCCCCGGAGCTTCCCCGCAGGTCCCAGCCTGCCCTCCTCTTGCATCTGTAGGAGCCGTGAAAGAACGACACTCCAAATCCCACAGAGGAAACACTTGCTTAGAAAATCACAAAAAGAGGAAAATGTATAAAGAAGTTTAGCAGCTACACAGTATCAAGAATTTTGAAAAAGACTACTCTTCCTTGCCTAATTAAAAGAAAATCTATATTATTAATGTTCAGCATTTTATAAACTATTTGTGTTTCAAAATGGGTTATCCCAGGTGGGTTTCTACCCTTTCCATTTTTCATAAGACTAGCAGAGTACGTATATAATTAATGCCATTTTAACACAGAATGAAGTGTCTTCATTTTTAGAAGATCCACGTCTGTCAGTATACAGCTCTCACTCAAATTTCCGGAACTTCCTATTATGATGAAACTAACAACCTGCGTGACCAACTCCCGCGTCCTTCTGTGTTGCAGGCCCTGCCGGGGACAGCCCCGAGCGCTCGTCTGCCTCAGCCCGCTCTCCGTGGGCAGCCAGGCTCACCCGGCGCCCTCGTCACAGCACACAGTCCTCCTGTCCTGCTCACACGTGTTTCACCACACGTGTCTCCTTGCTCTGGAGGAGTTCTCCTTGGGGGACAGTTCTCCGTTCCACGTGTGTCCTCTCTGCCACTCTTGCTATCCAAAGAAAATTCCTGAATGTTGAATTCACAGCAATAAAATTATATAATTCGGGGGGAAAGGTTTACCTTAATTTTGGTGGTTGTACTTAGGAAAGCTAACGATATTTTAAAAGCTGACAACCCATCCAATTTTAGTCTTTATAAAAAGAAAACTTCAGATTCATGAGTTTAATCAGTTGAAGTAAGTGAGGCACGGACTAAAACCTTCTGTCTCAGAGGTTCTGTAATTTGCTGATTTGCTCTGCGTCTAGTGGGCCAGCTGGAATCGCTCGTAACAGTAAAGGGACTCCCTTCTGACACAGTAGCCTGGCTCACTGGCCCATTTCCACAGCGGTTCTGACTGGCCCGCAGGGGGGCTGCCGGTAGGGTTACAACACTCTGTCTTCCCAGGCCTGGCCCACACGCGGCTGGGGGCTTACCTACAGCTGGCGTCGACCCCGCGCTAGTAACCTAAGGTCCTCTGCCGCTCCCGACTCTCGCTTTACCGTTGTACTTCAGCACTTTGAATATATAAACCCAAGATGTGAAAATAAAATATTCAGTGGTTTCAACATCAGAAAATAGTAAATCACATAGTAATGACTTAGAGCCACATACACTGTTTTAGTTCATACGTGAAGAAATCCACGAAATCTTCCTGGGAGCCTGGTCACTTACAAGAATGAAGCGCAGCTGTGATGGTGAGGTGCCCCAGCTGCTGGAACAGATGAGGCCCAAGCCTCAGGGACGGACAAAGCGGCCTGTTCTTTTGAACCGCAGCCCTTCGGCAGCGGGTGAGGGCTGAGGGGCTTCTCTAAGTGGACCCTGGCTCGTGGCCCGTGGCTTGTGGCTCTGCCCGGGCTCCCCAGTGACTCTCCCATGTGCTGAGGCAGAGACGTTTGTGGCCACGCCGGGGCACCTGGCACACAAGACTGCAGCCACAGCTAACTGCAGGCAAGGAGACAGGAAGCCCGGCCTGGGAGGGAAAAGACAGACAGGTTGCCAAGGCCAGGAGCAGGCCTGCCAAGGGTGCAGAACAGCCCCAGTGTCGTGTGGGAGGAAATACTAAATGTATGTTCCTATTTATTTTTTACCCCATCCTTTTAAAACACTCATCTGATATGTTTTACTTATATATAGCCATACACGTGTACATCATTTAAATGAGTAAATCCACATATATTGGCGTGTGCTCACTTTTCAACGGTGGAGTTATAGGGGGCATGGACGTCAGGCTGGCTGGTTATCAGGGAAACTATCACAGAGGAGCTGTTCTGATCTGATGTGACTTTTACAAAATTTGGAGACTAACTTGGAGAATGATTTAAAGAGTGAGCGAACACTTCTGTTGTGAGACAGCAGAGGGAGGCTGGATCCCAGACCTCACTTTTCCGTTCAGAAGGCCCACGAGGCAGAGCACAGCCATGCGGTGAAGGCTGGGTCAGGCTGATTCCAGGCCCCAAACTGGAATCTGTGGGGAGAGTCCAGGGATGCCCAGGTCACTCAGTGATAGTAAGAGGCCCCTCAGGGCCATGTGTGACCATGTCCCTGCACTCCTGTCCCTGGGCACGATGGCTGGGTGTGGCTGCCCAGACACCCGGCAGTCCTGCCTGCTTTCGGAACCCATTTCTCAAGCCTTCCCACTGAATCTGTGAGCTGTCAAAAGTCCTTCCAGCAAACTCTTTTCCTGCTTAAGTGAGCACAGCCCGTCTCTGCTCTTTGCAAGCAAGTACTCTACTGACTAGGCCTTAGTTAACTGTAGAAAGCGGGCGCACAGGGAAAATCAGTGAGGATGGAAATCTGGGATTGGTCAACACTGGGGAACATGGCAGTGAAAACCCCATGAGTGTTCAGGGGTGAGTCTCACACAGCTGCGAAAGTCAATGGCACATCAGGTAATTCTCTTATTGACAAGTCTTCTGGAACAGCATGCCCAACAAAGCCTTGGGGAGACCAAGTTACAAGCACAGAACAGTAAAAAAAAAAAAAAAAAAAAAAAGCACTTCAGTGGAGTAGCTGCTTCTCTGGACGGTTTGAAGACGACAGCACATTCTCAGGTCAAGCCACGAACACCACGCAGACTTTTCTACGATTACATCACAGCCTCTTCAGGTCTCATTTGAAAATGGGTCGTTGTCCAAGAAAGAGTTGGGGCCCTAAGCAGCATGCGTTTGGTGGAGGACTCACTTGGGAGAGGGAAAGTCTGTGATGCTATTTAAATCCGTGTATAATCCATAAATTTCTGGAATTATTTACAAATACCATTTTTACCTTTCCAAGTGGTTGGGTATTTAGTTTATCATTTTGATTAGTAAATCCCGGTTTTGTTTCATTTTATCAGGGAGTATGATTTTATTGTCCCATTGCTGTAAAAATGCTTAGGACAAGCAGCGTTTATTACTTATCTGTTGGATGGGGGCCGCCTGCTCTGTGGTGGCTCAGCTGGGCTTGGCTGCAAACTGCCTTAGATCCAGATGTGCTCCCTGAGCTTGGTGAACTTGGCTTCTGGCACCTGCAACCAAAGAGCTCTGATGAGCACAAGATAGCACAAACTAAGGTGGAACCAGACAAGAGAAGGAAACAAGAGGACTTCCCTGGCGGTCCAGTGCTTGAGACTCCTTGCTTCCACTGCAGGGGGCACAGGTTCGATCCCTGGTCGGGGAGCTAGCGTCCTGCATGCCGTGTGGTGCAGCCGAAAAAAAAAGAAAGAAAGAAAGAAAGAAAGAAAGAAACGAGCGGTAGCAAAAGAAGGCAAGAAGGAGGCTGAGCTCCACTGGATGAACACCCCGCACACCTGAGCTAGCAATGGCCCCAAACAGGAAAACCACGTGTTATGCGATTCCTCCCGTCCGGGAGTTAAAGAGAGTTCAGGGAGAAAATGGCTGCCCTCTCTCTCTCTTCAGGAAAAGTGCCTCCTCTCTCTCATTTTTTGACTTGGTAACTGGGGTGGCTGTGGAGTACGGCTCGGATCTCCTTTCAAGAACACCGGCCGTGGGGAGCCAGCTGGCTGACGTTCTCCAGCCGCTGCCCCTCGACGTCAGACTCGGAGCTCAAGCCAAGGCCACGCGCCCCCCAGGCTGCTCCGGAGCACTTGGGGTCCAGACAACCCACACCAACAGTCCTCCCATCTCACAGACCACCACTCCCCATGCTCACCTCAGACAGGGCTTTTCCCACAAAAAGGCGGCTGCATGACATCATAAACAGATGGTGTTCACTTTGAGGTCCCAAGATGCAGTGGTGAGTTTCATGGGACAGATCTTGTAAAGTATTCCTCATACAGGCTGATGACCTCACACCAAGGTCAAGTGTACTGATACACCTCAACGGACAGCAGGGTGTGGACAGGTAACTTCCTCCCGGGGAAGCTGAGAGCCCGCAGAGGACACGCGAAGACGAGGCCCCGAGTCTGCCCTGAAGTGAGCGCTAACGGCTCCAGAGTGCCATGGGGATCGCAGCTCTTATTCTAGTGGCGCAAACTCAGATGCCTTCTGCGGCCAAGCGATAACAGATAAGCGGGAAAGCAGCTGGTTACTGATTAGGATCCATGATCCTGAAACACGGAACTTAACGTTGCCAGATTATCTCATTTTTAAAGACACTATCTCTCACTCAAAAGACATTGAGGCTTTTGACTCTGATGACAATATGGTACTGGCATAAAAAGACAAATAGATCAGTGGAGCAGAACAGAGAGCCTAGCAATAAACCCACGCATATATGATCGAAAGCGAAGGATATACAGTGAAGAAAGGAAAGTCTCTTCAATAAATGGTGCTGGGAAAACTGGACAGCTACACGCAAAAGAGTGATGCTGGACCCCAGTCTTAAACTATATACAAAAATCAACTCAAAATGTACTTAAGGACTTGAACGTAAGACCTGAAACCATAAAACTTCTAGAATACACAGGTGGTAAGCTCCTTGACATAAATCTCAGCAATTATTTTTTGGATCTGACACCAAAAGCAATACAACAAAAGCAAAAATAAATAAACAAAAAATATAAAATAAACAAGCTTCTGCAAAACAAATAATCAACAAAATGAAAAGGCAACAACCTACAGAATGGGAGAAAATATCTGCAAATCATATATCTGTTAAGGGGTTAATATCCAAAAATACACAAAGAACTTATACAGCTCAATAGCAAAAAAAACCCCAAATAATCTGATTAGAAAACAGACAGAAGATCTGAATAAACATTTTTCCAAATAAGACATACAGGTGGCCAACAGGTACATGAAAAGATGCTCAACATCAGTAATCAACAGGAAAATACAAATCAAAACCACAATGAGATATCACCTCACAACTGCTAGAACGACTACTATCAAAAAGACAAGAAACAAGTGCTGGTGAGGGTGTGGAGAAAAGGGAGCCCTCCTGCACTGTTGGTGGGAATGTAAATTGGCATAGCCACCATGGAGAGCAGTATGATGGTTCCTCAAAAAACTAAAAATAGAACTACCAAATGATTTAGCAATTCCACTTCTGGGTATGTATCCAGAAGAAATGAAATCAGGATCTCCAAGAGATGTCTGCATCCCCATATTCACTGCAGCATTATTTCCAATAACCAAGTCATGAAGACAATTTTAAGCGTCCATCACTGGATGGTTAGAGAACATGTGGTATGTAAAATATTATTCCTCTGTAAAAAGGAAATTCTGCCATTTGTGACAACATGGATGGAACTTAAAGCCATCACACTAAGTGAAATAAGAGAAAGACAAATACCATATGATCTCACTCGTATGTGGAATCTAGAAAACCAAAAACCAAACTCATAGATACAGAGGACAAATTGGCGGTGGCCAGTGGAAGGGGGGTGGAGGTGGTGAGCAAAATGGGTGAAGGGGGTCAAAAGGTACAAACTCACAGTTATAAAATAAGTCCTGGGGATGTAACGTGCAGCATGGGGACGAGGGTTAACAACACTCTACTGGAACCATCAAATGCTTACTTTATGCTTTCTGCAGGGAGTGTGGATGTACATCTAACTTACCTAAAATGGTGTAAGACTTTTTAAAAACTTTATCCCTGGTTCTCATGGTAGTGTTAGGGGATGAAGTTTTCTGTAAGCCCCAATACCCAGTTGTAATATTGAATTCATGAGCCCAGGCCAATAACCTATCTCTGCCCAGAGAGTGAAAGGCCTAAGAAGATTAAAGATTACACTTTGGCAAAATTCTTTGTTACATGATATTTCTGAAATTTTGAAATAATCTAGATGTACAAAAAAGTTATAACAATAGAATTCCCATGTAGCCTTCACCCAGCTTCCCCTCATGTTAACATGCCATAGTAAAATTGTCTAAACCAGAAACTAACATTGATACAACAGTGTTAACTAATCTACAAATCTGATCAGTTGTCTCTGAGTTGTTTTGTGAACAAGAATTTTCTTCGCCAACAAGAATGCTAATGTCTAAAAGAATGTACCTTCCAAAGTATAAGCCAAGTGTATACAAGAGCCCCATGAAATGAAGAGTACGTCTAAGTATTCATAATTCCGAACACAAGGTTAGTGTTTGCTACATTGAAAGAGGCGAATAATCTTCAAAACAGTTTATGAGATATACTAATTAGTTTCAGGTTATAGAATTTAGAAATAAGCTTGGTTTTATGGACAACTGGTTTATAGAAAAGGCACTGAAATCACACATATTTACTGTATTGCCACAACTGACTCGTCATCTGGGGAAACAATACAGCTGATCAACGATCAGCTGGAACTGCATTCAGGTGCTCACGGCGGACCTGACTGCGGGGGCCTGAGTGCAAGACGAGTTGCCATCTCCTAGGGAGCCCCAGGAGGGCAGGCAGGGCAGCTGTGCACCCCACGGGCACCCAAGCTCTTGTGACTGCCCATCTTCCAGGGAAGTAAGTTCATGGTGGGAAGTGGCTCAGAGTCCCAGTCATAATTCCCTGTCACATCCACGGTGCTTCTCCTGGTGGACTCACTTCTTGGAGTCACCTTTCCGGGGGCCCTACACAGCAATCTCCCTAATCACCCCTGAGCCATGTGGCCACAGCTACCTGCCGTGGGGGGCTGGGTGCACTGCCACCTTACAGAAAACTGGACTTGTGTTGCTTAGCATGAAGGAGAACAGTTGTGTGCCAGTGACGGTCTGCACAGCCACTATCTCATTCCTTTCATCAAAATAAACTCCAGATAAAGGAATGCCTGATTACCAAAAAACAAAGGCTTAAAAGTAGTTATGTTTGAGGTGATGAAAATGTTCTGGAATTAGATGGTGGTGATGTTTGTGAATATACTTAATGTTAAAAGAGAAAAACCACAGGCCCAAAATGGTCACTTGTGTCACTTGTGCTAAAGCCCATGATACCTGACCTAACTGCAGTTTCAGCCTTCACCAGAAACGTAATCTTGATCAACCAGTCTGGAATCTTCTAGTCTTCACCAAGGAGGTAGTCTGCCACATGGGCCCTCTCCACCCCCAGAAGAAGAAGAGGCAATCTGCATGATGAAACCCTTGCTGTTCCCTTCCCCCCAAATGATGTCTTGAACTAAAAATATTCCTTCCTTTTCTTTGGCTAATAGCTCCCTTGTCCCACCCTCCTCCCTGTAAAAACCTTCTGCTTTGTACAACCCCTGGGAGCTCCTTCTAGGTGCTAGATGGGATGCTGCCCTACCATAAGCCACCTAATAAGGCCAAGTAGATCCTCAATTACTTGGCTGAATTTTGTGTTTGGAACACTAGCACCAGTGAACTGTATACTGAGAATGAATTTTATGGTGCATGGTCAAGCCCCCCAGGATGGCTGCACTCTTGCTCTCTGGACATCCCCTGCTGGACCAGTCCCGGCCTCACCTATACCCTACTCACCTGGCTGATCTACCCTCTTCATCACAGAACCTGATCAGTAACTGCCTACACGCTTGTCCCTGGCCCTAGCTACTGACCGTCCTAATCTTCCCATCCACTAGGATAGTGGATCTTCCACTAGGATAGTCTCCCTGGTAACCAGCCAACCTGACGTCCATCCCCCGTAACCATCACCCCTGCCCCGCCCCACAGCCAGAGGTGCCGCTGCAGGACTTTGCTTCAGAGGTAAGATCCTGGGTCCAATAAACCACTGATGTCTCTGTTGCCACCACCAGGCTCTTTCTTTGGTCTCGCGACTGGGCAATTACAGGGCTTGCAGGCCTGTAGGATGCAGCCCAACACGTGATATGTGAGCTACATCTTAATTAAAGGAGTTAGAGACAAAAACGGGTAAATTTTTTTCCCTTGGAGTAGGGACTCTTGGAGTAGGGAAGTCCTAAGTACGATATCAAAAAACTTATGGGAAATTGTCAATTTTGACTACTTCAAAATTTTAGATTTCCATGTAGCAGAAAACAATGTGAACAAGTTAAAAAAACAAATAACTTGGAAAAATATTTACAACAGAAAGACAAATATTTACTGCTGTAATGGAAAGGTTTTATAAAACAATAAGAAATACCAAAAGTGGGCTAAGTATATTTAGTAACTCATAAAAGCAGAAATACAAATAGTTGCTAAAATTCTTCTTAAAGTTTCCCCCACTAGTTATTAAGTGTGAGAAAAACAGTATTTGCCCATCAAGTTGCCACTAATGTAAAAGACTGGCAAAATCCAGTGTCAGCTAGACACACACAGGCTGCTGCTGAGAGCGTGTTGATGTGGTCTTTCTCTTGGAAGTGTGCATTCTCTTTGATCCACTTTCATGTCTAGGAACTATGTGACATTGTGACTTATAATAAAAAATCCACATGTGGTCCTCCTCCATTTCTGGAACAGAGCTCTGAAGCCCCTTGGAATTTCCTAAGTGATAAGAGGATAAGGGTATCTTTTTATATTCGTAACAAGCCCCTTTCAACCACACCTGGGCTTCCGTGAATGAGGTGACTTTTTTTTCTAATTGAAGTAGAGTTCATTTACAATATTGTGTTAGTTTCAGGTGTACAGTGATTCGGTTACACATGTATGTATTTATCTATATTCTTTTTTTCTGATTCTTTTCCATTATAGTTTGCTACAAGATATTGAATATACTTCTCTGTGCTGTACAGTAGATCCTTGCTGTTTATTTATTTTATATATGGTAGTGTGTATCTGTTAATCCCATACTCCCAATTTGTCTCCCCACTCTTCCTCTTTGGTACCCATAAGTTTGTTTTCTATGTCTGAATTTGTTTTATAAATAAGTTCATTTGTACCACTTTTTAGATTCCACATATAAGTGGTATCATATGATACTTGCCTTTCTCTGTCTGACTTACTGCATTATTTCATTCTTTTTTATGGCTGAGTAACATTCCGTTGTGTACACGTTCTTTATGCATTCATCTGTCAATGGACATTTAGGTTGTTTCCATGTCTTGGCTATTGTAACTAGTGCTGCTATGAACATTGGGGTGCATGTAAATTTTCTAATTAGAGTTTTCTCCAGATACATGCCCAGGAGTGGGATTGCAGGATCATACGGTAACTCTATCTTTAGATTTTTTAAGGAACCTCCACACTGTTTCCCATAGTGGCTGCACCAATTCCCACCACTGTGTAGGAGGGTTCCCTTTTCTCCACACTGAATGAGGTGACTTCTGGAAACTCCCCAAGGATGGCCAGGGGAACCAACCAACTAATTAGGGGTCAGACCCACCCTCCTGACCTCTGGGGAGTGGAAAGGGGCTGGAGGGTGAGCTCATCGCTAGTGGCCAATCATTTAATCCATCACACCTATATAGTGAAGCCTCCATACACACGAAAACCGCTAACTGAAGGGACTCCGAGAGCTTCCGGGTCGGTGAACGCATGGAGGCTCTAGGATAGTGGGGCACCCCGACAGGGTGGGGAAGCTCAGTGCCCCTTCCCCGAATCTGGCCTGTGCATCTCTTCCATCCGGCTGTTCCTGACTTGTATCCTTTATGGGAAACAGGTAATCTAGCAAGTCAACTGTTTTCCAGCATTCTGTGACCTGCTCTAGCAAACTACTGAACTGGAGGAGGGGGTCTTGGGACCCTCTGATGTAAAGCGGGTTGTTCAGAAGCACAGGGACAGCCTGGGCTTGGGATCAGCATCTGAAGTGGGGGGACGGGGCGGGTAGGCAGCCAGTCTTATTGGGACTGAGTCCCTAACATGTGGGTGTGCACTAATTTCATGAAGATAGTGTCAGAATTGAATTGAACTGTAGGACACCCATGTAGTTATCCACAGAGAATTGGAGAAATACTTGGTGTAGAAAAAAACCCCACACATTTGGTGGCTACAAGTGAAACAGGGAGAGTACGAGAAAGGAGTTTTTCATTATAAACTTCTAAGGAGATAATAAAACAGTGTGCTAAGATACATGTAGAAAGCTATTTGTTAGTATTTACAGTAGTTAGAAATTGGAAATAATCTAGACACCCATCCCTAAGGAGTTGATTAAAATATGGTCCATGGGGCTTCCCTGGTGGCGCAGTGGTTGAGAGTCTGCCTGCCGATGCAGGGAACACGGGTTCGTGCCCTGGTCTGGGAAGATCCCACGTGCCACGGAGCAGCTAGGCCCGTGAGCCACGGCCACTGAGCCTGCGTGTCCGGAGCCTGTGCTCCGCAACGGGAGAGGCCACAACAGTGACAGGCCCGCGTACCGAAAAAAAATATATATATATGGTCCATACACATCAAGAGGAATACTATATAGCCATTCAATGGAATGACGTAAACCTACATCTATTGGTAGGAAAAAAAGCTCATGAACAAAGGGGTTTCCATATACGTACGACAATCCTGTGGTGGCATGTGGTTCGTCACAGAGCAACCACATGGAATTACAGTGACAATTTAAACGCTGGAACTTGACTTAGATCAGGCAAATCAGCAGAAACACTGTAACGGTCCAATATCATTGCACAACCCCCCACCTTTTCTGGCTGAGCTGCGAGGCTTGTGGGACCTCAGATCCCCAACCAGGGATTGAACCCACCAGGCCTCGGCAGGGAAAGCACTGTGTCCTAACCACTGGACCACCAGGGAATTCCTCACTGCCTTTTGTAGGCAGACTTGGCTTCTATTTCAAAGACAAAGCCTCATAAGGAAACTGTAATTAATTTAATGTTTGATACATCTAGACTTTCAAGCTTATCCAAATAAACATGAGGATGTGGAGACTCAAAAATGCTTTCTTGTTTGTTACAAGTTTTTAACATAGCCTGTACGATTCCAAAATCCTCATCATAATTTAAGAAATGATGATTTTAGGCAACTCCAGTAGATGAAAAATTTCCACAAGGATAAGTGAGGACTCACTTAGAAAAGCCCCATATGGACCAGATAAATGCTGAATGGCCTTTACGGAGCTGGTCTCAGTTGTTCCTATACAGCCCCCACTAGCAAAAATTTTAAAATCTTATTTACTCCTTTATAGGATCTGCTACAACGAATTGTGACATTATCTTAAAAGTGTCAAGCAACTATAAGAGAACATTTAAATAAATTATTTAAAATTACAGCTAATACTTATCAAGTACCTAACATTTCAGGCCCTGTGTCAGTGGCTGTGGCATGTCGGCCACAGCCTGGTGCACATGTAACACATACATAGATACACATACACAGATACATATGCACAGATACACATGCACTGATACACATGCAGATACACATGCACAGATACACATGCACTGATACACATGCACAGATACACATGCACAGATACACATACACACACAGATACACATGCACAGATACACATGCATTGATACACGTGCACCAATACACATACACTGATACACATGGACAGACACACATACACTGATACACATGCACAGATACACACACAGATACACATGCACAGATACACATGCGGATACACATGCACAGATACACATGCACTGATACACATGCACAGATACACATACAGATACACATACACTGATACACACGCACTGATACACAGATACACATGCACTGATACACACGCACAGATACACATGCACTGATACACATGCACAGATACACATACACTGATACACAGATACACATACACAGATACACATACATAGATACAGAAGCCACCTGGCGTTTTCCACTACATGGTACACAGGTGTGATTCCCCCCTTTCAGATTGGTAGATAACTATGGCTACTGTTTCCTCACGCTTTTTCACAACCGCAGGTCCTGCCCCTTTTACCTGTTGAGGAAAGGAATGCAGAAATCATGAGGAAACCGAAGCTCTGGTCGGCCCACACTGGGGCTCAAGGCCGCCAGTTCCAGGCTTGTGCTCGCTGAGCACCAGTGGCTCACAGCGGCTCTGCCTAAACCCCTCCCAAATGCAGAGCTCGCTGGACTGCGGGAAACCTGCAGGGCTGCGACCTGTGACACGTGGAGCAGAGCCATCATCTTTAAAAAACTTTTCCCGAACCATTTTCTTCCTTCCAAGGCAATCAAGCCGCATTCTTAAAGCCCAAGTGTCTCACACGCGCTCTCTACCTGGTTCAGGGTCCTCACCAAGGACCACGAAGAGAGGTAACAATTTTAAACAAGTCCCTTTGTTCGGTCTCAGAGGCTCTGATCTTAGACAGGGCTCTGTCAGCTAGGCTCAGGGCCTCCTGTGTGAAAACAGGTGCCTTCTTTCCATCGGCTGTAAGTGGTAAGTAAAGTCTATCTGAGAAGCAATGTTTATAAAGTGGTTAAGCATAAGGACTCAGGAGCCAGCTGGCACGGGATTCGAATCCTTTGTCCTGTGGGTCCCCGGGCAGGTTACTTAACCTCTCTGTGCTTTAGCTTCCTCATCTGCAAAGTGGGAATATTAACAGTACCCACTTCACAGGATTGTCAGGAGGATTAAATAAGTTACATATTTAAATAAACATGCATATACACACACATATAAAATGCTTAGAACAATACCTGGCACAGGAAAGCACTATTTAAGTGGCTACTGCTATTATTATTATTGCTGTTATTACCAATTTAAAGCAGTTAAGTCCCTTTTGCAAGCTATATACATAAAATTGGTCTCATTTTAGAACCACATCTTAGATATCTGCTTATGTTATCTGCATTACTAAATGTTTAGCTGCATAACTGAGAAAGAATCAAGTCTGCTTGAGTTTCTAAGGCCTAGAAATATGGACCCTGGGACTATGCCACACTTCTGCAACTCCCCACCAGCACTAAGACAAGCAGAAAGACAGACAATGTTCAAACACTTGACTCAATATCCTGGCGTTGGAAAATTCTGAACCACCCGACTGGAGTCACTAAGAAATCAAAACCCCCAAACCAGGAAGAGGTGAGACTCAGTGATACCGACCTGCGTTCACAGACAGCTCTTCAACTCCCTAGTTGTGTGACCTCAGCAAACCTCACCCTTCGTGTGTTTGGGCCCCTTCTCTGTAGAATGGAGGCGTGTATTTCCCCATTTCCCAGGTCTCCGGGCTGCTGACAGCAAGAACACCACACCGTCTCCTCCCTCCCCCCACGCCCCCTTCGCCTCCTTGACCTCGAGGTCTGATGAGATGCCACAGTGAGGACTAAAAAGAGAAAAGAAGTGAATCACTGCTGAGACTGAAGTCGAGAGAGGATGAGAGAGAGTGGAGGCGATGAGAAACTCTCTGAACAGGCACAGGCCGGGGAGGGACAGGTGCTAGCATCAGCAATAATACCTCTGTCACCCCATCCTCAAGCCCACTGTTAAGCCGACAGAGAAAAACTGTAGAAGATTTCCAGAGGGCTGTGAAGGGAAGGCTCCAGAAGGGTCCCAAATCCTCGATCCTCAGTGTCACTGTTTGTAAGCAGTACATTCTTTTAATAATAGCTTTTCAAAGGGAAAGACATTACATCCTTCACATAGTATTCTTAGAAACTGAAAAAACTTTCTTCCTCAGATTCACAGCCCACATTTGAATCTCAGCGTCCTCACACTGAGACACTGAAGATCCTTGTTTCTCTCCGGTCCTCAGACGACATGCACAGCAGCTGCTGCTGCCCTGCTTTCTGTAATCCATGCTTGTGAGAACCTGACTTCTTCACACCTTTAGAAGAGCACAGCACCAAAGTCATATCCAGGATGACTGGGTTTTGTGTGAATTTCTTGTTTGATTACATTTGAACTTGAAAAAATTTTTCCTAATTGAACTGCAGAGAATTGGAAGTTAAATAACTTATCTTGAAAACTAGCTCCCAGCACTACTCCTTTAAGACATCACTTAGTTTTGAAATTTTATAATCCACTTTTTAGAGTCTGAGCAATTTCTACTGATTTTAATTACATTCTTTTCAGTGGAACAAGTAATTTGCATATGCAATCCTTTTGTTTCAGTGGTATTTGCAATAATGAATTTTACCTGAACAATATTCAAAAGCCAAAAAAATGCTTTGTATTCTTTCAGCCAGGAAATGACTTGGTGGTTTGTGTCAAGTATTTTTTTTTAAATACCAACAAAACAGAATAGAAGAAGCCAGCATGCATCACACACAGTAAAAGTAGGCACTGTTTTGTTAAATTTTTGTTTGTGTATAGAAGTATGTATGTGTGTGTGAGTTACAATGTAGACTGGAATTCTTACTCTGGTCAGAAGTCTGAAAGCCACTGCCGTAGAGGCTTCTGTTTGTCAGTGAATGAACCACATGCTAAAGGCCTTTGCCTTCCAAGCACTCTGGATTAAGCTGCTCACACCACAATCAGGTATATGGCTCAGTCCTTCAATGGAAGAAATTAGAGACATCAAACCTAAATAAGTCAAAGAAATAACATACATGATTTCAATTACTGATGCTACATTTTAGGTTGCAAGAAATTGATCAAAAACTCCCCAACAAAAAGGAGAGAAAATATCCACTCCTCCCTCAGTTCAACATTCCATAAGAATAGTTATTGCCCTTTATAAAACTGAAATGAAAATAACCTACATACACCCTTAAGTTTTAGCCATGATGGTATTTAAGATTAAAAATAAAAAACACATTTGAGTACTTGTAAACCAAAATATGAAATCATTTAGTAAAACTTTAATTTCTGAGACATTTAAAAAGTCACACTAAAAGTATCTCACAGAAACAAGACTGATAACCTGTAAACAAAACACTCTGTAAACAAAAATAATTTGCCAGTGCATCCAAACATTATTTTTAAAGTAACATCATACCAATTTTTTTAAAAGTTTAAAAAGTCAGTACTGCATGTATCCTCATACTTAAAAAAAAATTATTTTAAGAACTCTGCCTTTATATACTAAATACTGCTAACAACATAGAAAGCCACCTAGGGCTTTCACGCGATGTAAGCCTGTGTTGCTGGCAAATAAGGCGGTTACAGAGGCCACAGGGAGGCTGACTGCTCCAGAAAACCAGGCAGAAGCCGGTGCCCCGAAGGTCAGGTATATATGCACCTTTGACGCACCCGAGACTGAGAACCACCAGGAAGCTTTCATTCTCATCCACTGTCAACCCCTCAGCGTGGCACTGAAGGTGCCACCTGTGTGTGTGTGTGTAATTTTCACATAAAGTCTCATATATACAGCAGGTCTATTTTTACACAGAATGTATATAAAGCTAAACAAATTTTAAATCTAAGAAATATCTTGGAAAATCAGTAAAAATCATTACAAACATTATAATCTGTAAAATTTATAACTTCAAAATAATTTATTTACATACTGTAGAACCAATGAATGATAAGAATTGGCTCAGTCTCCTCAAGAAACTTTGTGATTGCAGTGCCTAATGCCCTTTTAAAATAGATCCTAGTGGTGAGAAAAAATAAAAGGAGCATTTGATTTAATGCAGTCAGTGATGTACCCCACCCACTTAGAAGGAAGGCAGTTTCAGGCCCGTCCGACCGCCGGCACCGGGACCTCGGACCTGAGGCCTCGTGCTCGCCCTCCACTGCACGCACAACTGCAGTAACAGGAAGCTCACGGGTGCCTGTCTGTCCTTACCGGTCCTCCAGTGCTCGGCCTCAGTGCGCCGCAGCCACTTCTGCCACAGGTGCACATGCCAGCCTCCAGCGTGCATGCAGGAGAAGCGCCTGCATTTAGAGTAAGTGTCTCACTCAAGAGGAAGACTGCGCTTGTGACCAGGAATGCACCAGGTGTTGCTAGAGCCTCAGGTGGTTGTCATTACGTGCAGACCGAGGATGTGACAACCTATATTTGCTTCCACAGAAGGCATCTGGCACCCAAGGTTCAAAACCGTCCCTCTGCTCCACACAGCAGTGAAGAAGCATCCACTAAGAGCTTCAGGAATTTATAATACATTTCACTCCTTACTAATCCAAACCTGGCTTAAGTCCTCTGATGGAAAGAAACTTTCAAATGAACAAAGAGTTGATATAGACATTGAAAAGTTTAATATTTTACTCAAAAATTTTCAGACATCTTACAAATACCCAGAAGCTCTTCCTCTGGATGTCTGCCCTGAAATTAGTGTAAGTTAAAAGTGATATTCTTTTATTTAAAGGAATTCTTTTCTCTTCTCCCCTTGACCTGGTCTGCTCAAAGCAAGCAAGTTTCAGTAAAAATCAAAACTTGCAATTAACACTTAAATAGGTATAATTACCAGTAAAATTAGAAAGCAGCCAATTTTTATTCATTTTCTCAGTATGTGGATCTTATGCTGAGAAATTCACCCATACTAGACTGGTGGTATTTACTGAGTGTTGTTTAGAATCACAAAATGTTCTTTTATTTTAAAACTAAGCTGCATTTTAACAGGAAGAGAAGCTCAGAAGGAAATGCAGAGGTATAAATAAAGGAGAAGTATACACAATGGAGCTTTGGGTTACTTTCTCTTATTATATTGGATCTAAGTGGAAATTTTTGATGTCAAAATATATATAGCCTGTTTTTCATAAATTTCTCCCAAAAAAACCCTTTAAATTCAACAATTTGAGAAAACTGTTCTTTTACGTTTGTCTGAACACAACCTGTTGCCAAACACACAGCGCATATGAACATATGTGTTTATAGAGGCTGCATGATATGAACTGTGTGCAAGTGGACCCATCTGCTATTTTTGCATGCACAATTTCTGGTACTCGATCCTAGTGGATGGTAACACGGAGTATAATGTTATAGCTTTTATTCAGTGGACTTAAGTCAAGAACCCATCCCAAGAATTATTTACAATTTAATAACTGAATGATCATCAGACCATGATACACGGCAAAACTTTTCTTACATCATGAATGCTGATGCTGTGTGTTTTGGGTGTTAAATGGTAACATTCGTAAGTCTGATGTTTAAATTGGCACGTACAGAAGTGATCAAAGCCTGAAGACTGTGGCGAAAGAAGGGGTGTCTACCACAGAGCATTTATAGTTCATAATGGACACAGGGAATTAAGGGATTTCTGAAAAAAATGTTTAAAAAAAACTGAGTGTACATATAGCCTATAAGGCAAAATCTAAGTTACAAGTGTATTCAACACTGGCAACTATGTTATGAGAGGTAATATTGAATTATATACACATAAACTGTCAGAGAAGTATGATTACATAATACTTCCTACCATAGCTTATTCCACTGGACAGTAGGAGGTATTCCTGTGGCATCCTACCAAGGCTCAAGTTTTAAAAGAATTTTGTATTTTTCCCTTGACTCAAAGTCCAATCAATATCATTCTGTAACATAAATCAGAACTATGCTTTTGTTTTTTCTTCAAGGAAGTGAAAAATATAATTTGCAACCATTTACAGTTCCAATGTACCCACTGCAATATCATCTATAAACTTTCATTTTTTGCAGAAATTTCACATCTAAGTACCAAGGATGCCCTTTCATGTAGGGCATGAATGGAATTCGTTTTGAATGGAATATATAACAAGATTTAAGTGAATCCTTAGAAAGCCCCAAAGTTGGCCTTTTCTAACACTCTCATATGGGCGCATAACTGATGCAAGCAAACATGGCCCCAGAAGACGCGCCGCCCTGAGGAGGCTGCACCTGGCTGGGAACTACAAGGGCCGCCCCAAAGGTAAAAAGAAGAAGACCTGCAACAGCCAAGCTCTTAGATTATGAAAACGACACTGACAGGCCCAGGCCGTAAGCGTGGACCACAGTCAGCAGGAAGCACCCCTGACCGACGGGAATGTCACAGGTTTGGGGCGCTCAGGCTCTTGATTGCAGGGCGCTGCTGCGGGTCTCACAGTGCTTTCTGATGCCCATTCGCAGAAGGCTTTGTGGTTTCTGAATCCCTTGAAGTATCTGATAAGTGAAGTTTATGAAGCCCTGCAGGAAAATGAAGAAGATGTAAGAACTAATGCATTGTTGAGAGGTCGGGCAGAGTGTGCCATGCTCCTGAGGGAACTGTGCCTCTCTGGCTACACTCCCTGTAGGATGAAAGGGCCCTTCTCCCCACCGGCAGCGCCTGGGCCTGAGCTGAAGACAGCTGCCCAGGAGGCAGTCAGGCCTCCCCTAGTTCAGGGCAGCCTGGGAGTCCTTCCTTCATCCAACATCCCACGGGGCCGGCTGAGGCTCCCGGTGAGATGCAGCGGCCACTGCCCTCCGCACAGCTCCTGCCCCTGCCCTGCCCTCCACCTTGGTCCCAAGAGCAACTTCTAATAAACCTCCTCCTGCAAGCTTATCCCCACACTCTAGTGCCCTTCCCAGGGAACAACCTGAAACGAGGATGACCCCATTTTTGTTTTAAAAGACACCCATACATACACACTCTCAGGAAAACGCAGGGAGAGACACACCAAAACATAAAGCATGCAAGTAAAAAGGAAAGCAACAGAAGACACTACCAAGAAGAAAGAAATGGCAACAGAACAAACTGACCATAAAGAAGATTTCACTACTCAGAGATATTTCACAGAGTAAAAGATTATTACTACCTTTTAAGTTACATTACTTTCCCTCTGTATCACATAGTAATTATTTACATAGTATACCTGACACATAGGACAATACTGTGCCCTGGCAGGCAGAAAAGTGAGAAGAAATTTTAAGAGTTTAAGTGGCATTAAAGCTCTGAGCACTTTAACAAAATGAAGCATAAAGACAGTCAAGAGCACATGAGCAACACATCCATGGAAAAGATTTTGAGGAAACAATTTTTATGAGGCTCAGATATTTGTAAAAATATACCTGGATAAGATGATTTTTCCCCTAAAATTTCAGATGGTTGTCTGCCTGACTGGTAAGCAATTTTATATCCCTCGCAAGCCAACATAGCACTCCAAATTTTTAAACTTCTATCACTGCATATCTTAATGAAAGAAAAGGTAAAACTGAGCCTGTCTATGACGCATGACTGGGAAAGGAAACATAAATCAATCCAACACACACAAAAAAACAGTTCTTGTTTTTTTGTTCAGGAACGGCCAAGCCACTGAGTGACAGAAGGCACCTACAACTGCTGGACGTGAGAAAGCGTGTTAACACAGGCCGGCTGCAGAAGGACGTGGGCAAAGAGAGCAGCGACCGAGTGACCAACGCCCTCCCTGGAACAGAACCCCTTTAGGATCGATTATTTCAATGAGTTACTTCTAAAACCTGGGTGTAGCAAAAGTTATGCATTCAGGCAAACTACAATGTCTCTCTTCTGCAAAAACAATCACCTCCACCACCATCATGGTAGCGACATTCTGAGTGTCTGCCATGTGCCAGGTACTCTATGAGATAGATGTTATGATTCTCAACGCACAGCAGCAGAGAGAAAAATCCCTCCCACCCCACCTCCCACACACACACAAAAGAAGAAGAAGAAAACGAAAAAAGAAAGGATATAGTTAAATTTTGTATTATATAATCAAATTATGACTCCCAGTGAAATCATATTTAAGATCTCAGATCATTCACACATGACATACACTTAATGAGGATCATTTTCTAGGTATAAGGCATTGCCTCCTTAGAGCATTCCAAAGAGTAACAGAAAACATTAGGGAAAAAAAACTGTACCTATTAGACGTTTTACACAACTCTTGATGATTTCACTGCCTCTTATGGCCAAAGAGCCAACACAACAGTTACAACTTTTACCTTGGGTTAAACTACATTTTACTGTTTTAATAAAGACTTCCTTAGCAAGATGGTATCCAGAATACCCAACTCAAACGCTAAATTTACTGCAATTTATGCATAACCATCTCATTTTCGTGAATGGTGAGTAGGAATTTATCTGAGATCACGGCTAACTAACATTGCTGATGCTACAACAGGCTTAAAAATGAAATTTTAACTCTAAAACTTTGGCTGAGAGGACTGTTTGATTCTGACTTCACCTTTAGATTTTAATCTGACCAGCATTAAGGAACCTAGGCATTAAAATCCATAGATTATCTGGTGCTTCAGCTGAAATGCGATGTAACTTTCCCTTTCAGGCCAATATCTCATCAGCCACCCCCTCCCACGATAGATTTGCAGTAAAACAGACATGAATACATAATCTGAAATCCTTTTTCCTTCCCAAAGGTCATCCTTTCAAGCATCAGGGTTGGAAAGGCTTGGTGGTATGCAAAGCTTTATTGTTGCTCATAAGGTGTAAAGTATCTGAAAACAGAATCTTAACGAATCAATTATCATGTTGCCTTTTGCAACAGCTAAAAGCCACAAAAGAATACGGAGTATAAGCATTCAAATGATGTCAATTCAGGTAAACGGCTAACGTCAGGACTTTCTACAATAAATCAGTACCTTTCCCTTCTTTTATAAAATTACACACCCTAAACCCAAGAGGGCTTATACAGCAAGACAGCTTCTATTGTCCTGGTATTCCTAAAATACAAAACCTGAAAGATGTTTAGTACTAATGTTGAAGCAAGCATGAAGAATACATTCATAGGTTACATTTGGGCCCTTCATAGCTCAGCCAAACCTATGAGTTTTTAACACTGCCACAATGCATATGACTCATAGGATACATGATGAATGCCCTCTCTCTTATTAATGCCAAGAACACTAATACTTTTATTCTGAATTATTATTCGACTAACTGAAGAGAATTATAATTGTGGGTCAGCCTGATACCTATAAAATCCAATCCTGAAAAAAACCTTTAACTAAAAAATAGTAAGAGGTATCAATACCCAAATATGTCTTTAGCACATCATCATCCTCAGCTCATCACACCTACCCTCATCATCATAATCCAAGAGCTAATGTTTACTGAGCTCTTACCATGTGCTAGGATTATGCTCAGGCCCTTAAAAGAACTATTTCAGTTAATATTCACAACAGTCCTGAAAGAAGAAGATATTATCACCATTTTACAGATGAGAAAGATGAGACTTAATGAAGTAATTTTATACGAGAGCATAACCAGTAAGTAGTGGGTCAGGAATGTGACCTCTAAGGATTTACACATTTGGAAAAATGAATAGATGAAGACTTAAAATTAGCTGAAATGTCAAAATTATTAATAAGTAGAAAAAGACAAAAATACCCATAAACCTCAGAATTACCTAGGGCCTTGAAAAGTTCTTCTCGTACAGCAGAGGTGAATTTTCTGACCAGACACAATGTTGTCATAATAGCAAAAAGCAAATTGTAGGATAACACAATATAGAAATTTCCCAGCCAATTAAACCTTCCAAAGTCTCCAAGTAGATCAAATCTAGTGATTCCTGTTAAAAATAAATAAAATAGCCCTTAATAAAATCAGGTACAATAAATTTATATATACATAACAAAATAAAGTACAAATCAGACGGATCAAATTCCATGGACTTTCTCATTTCTGTTGGTGGGATCCTAGGTAAAACGCACGGCTGTTACCTGGTGGGAAAACCCCAGTCAACCCAAAGCGACTCTGCCCACATATCACAGCCTCTTGGAAGCGATGAGCAATGGCGCTGACATGAGTCACTTGCTCAGAGGTTTCGCCTACATCCACAAGAAACCCACCGTGCCACTCGTGTGGGGCGGGTGGGTGCAGCCTGCTCCCCTGAACTAGGAAACCAGGGTCGTGATGGAAGAGACACCTGACAAACCCTCTCACCTCCCCACCCTTGTCCCCTCTTCATGCAGGCTCCTGTTCACATGTCACCTCCTCCGAGAGGCCACCTGATTTCCTTTCCCCAGACAGCGGACCTGCCAAGGCCCTCCACCCTGATTATGTTTCTTCACAGCACACACTGCCCAAAATGTTTCTTTTCCTTTGTGGTTTTTTTTTTTTTTTTTTTTTGCGGTACGCGGGCCTCTCACTGTTGTGGCCTCTCCCGTTGCGGAACACAGGCCCTGGACGCGCAGGCTCAGCAGCCATGGCTCACGGGCCCAGCCGCTCCGCGGCATGTGGGATCTTCCCGGACCGGGGCACCAACCTGTGTCCCCTGCATCAGCAGGCGGACTCCCAACCACTGCGTCACCAGGGAAGCCCTCCTTTGTGGTTTATCTATTGCCTACTTTCGCCACTAGAATGTAAGTTCTATAAGAACAGGGACTGTGTCATTTTCATTCTTATAATTCCAATGCCCAGAGCAATGCCTTGCACATACTTAAAACTTATTACATAACAAATAAACAAATAGAGTGATTCCTTTCCAAGGGAAAAAACACACACACACATTATTCATCTGAGTTGGATGCTACAGGCTTGTGCAGGGAAATGGCCAATGCTGGAAATACAGTGTAATTATGTCGTATAGGTTGCAAATGCAGTGCAGTTGTATCATATATGCATTGAAGTTACTTAAATTCACCTATACATATTTAAAAAACAAGTCTTTTTATTGAAAAAAAATCTGAATAGTCATTCTATTCAGTGAGCTCGTGTCCTAGGTCCAGTACTTATTGGAAAGAATATGTGAATGGTAGGGTTTTTCTGACTACTGGTAAATGAATAAATAAATAAGTAAAACAGCATTCAAGTGGTCAGTCACCCGAGAGATGATGGGATTGTTGACACTCTTTAAGGAAGAAACTGAAGAGCTACTCGGGGCCATATAAAATTTTAACCACAAAGGACTGTATAGACAAAATCATATACCTTTAATTTTATGGGTGATCTAAGAATTTCAAGAATAACTTTGACTAAACTCAATTTCATCTTATCAGCTGACTTTTAAACTTAACTCACATCCCCACTCAATGCAGTCCCATCACCTATTATACAGACAGACTCCACAAAAGCAGCTTATGGAGACAACAGAAAAACAGCCGGTTTCAAATAGCAGCTCTTTTGTAACTACATCTATCCAGGGCCAATGTATTTGAATCTGAGAGACAATAATCTATCATAATATTTTAAAGAAGTATAAGGTTAGTGAAAACATACAATAAAATATCTTTTAAAAGAAGGTAAAAGGGACCCAGACCCTAGTAGAGTATGCAGCATAGGTCACACCATGAGATCATGGCAACCATTCTGGCGGCAGTTTATCAGACTAAAGACTTAATAAGACTTCAATCTATTAAAAAGAATATGGGACTTCCCTGGTGGCGCAGTGGTTAAGAATATGCCTGCCAGTGCTGGGGACATGGGTTCAAGCCCTGGTCCGAGAAGATCCCACATGCCGCGGAGCAACTAAGTCCGTGCGCCACAACTGCTCAGCCTGCGCTCTAGAGCCCGTGAGCCACAACTACTAAAGCCTGCGCGCCTAGAGCCTGTGCTCCGCAACGAGAATCCACCGCAGTGAGAAGCCCGCGCTCCACAACAGAGTAGCCCCCGCTCGCCGCAACTAGAGAAAGCCCACGCGCAGCAACGAAGATCCAACGCAGCCAAAATTAATTAATTAAAAAGAAAAAAGAATATGTATCTAATCATATATATTATTTTTCAAATGAAGTACCACTTAATTAATTATTTTTTTTTACATCTTTATTGGAGTACACAATTGCTTTACAAATGGTGTGTTAGTTTCTGCTTTATAACAGAGTGAATCAGTTAGTACCACTTAATTTAAACTAGGCAGTTATATGTAAACAAGGTACAGTCCTCCCAAAAAGAACTTCAGTGGTTTCATGGCCCAGGGATCCCAGATAAGCATATCTGATTTTATGCATTTTTTAGAAAACATTTATTTATTTTATTTATTTATTTTTGGCTGCATTGGGTCTTCGTTGCTGAGCACGGGCTTTCTCTAGTTTCAGCGAGCAGGGGCTACTCTTTGTTGAGGTGCCCACAGGCTTCTCATTGCGCTGGCTTCTCTTGTCGTGGAGCATGGGCTCTAGGCGCGCAGGCTTCATAGTTGTGGATCGCGGGCTCTAGAGCACAGGCCCAGTAGTTGTGGTACGTGGGATTAGTTGCACCGCGGCATGCAGGATCTTCCCGGACCAGGGCTCCAACCCGTGTCCCCTGCATTGGCAGGTGGATTCTTAACCACTGCACCACCAGGGAAGCCCAGCATATTTGATCTTTAGGGCCAAAGACTCCCGAGAATCTGGTGAGAGCCACAGAATTTTTCACAAGAAAAACACACATACATGAGGCGGCAGGCATGCGCGTATGCGCACACACACACACAACAGTGCATATCATGAAGCTCATATTTATGGAGGAACTGACAAATAACAGAATAAAAACCCTCACCCAGATGCGCTATAAGAGTCTTATCCGGTCTCAAAAATTTTTGATCATACACCACCAAAAGCAAAAATAAAATTAGAGTACATATACCCATTATATGTGTATTTTAATTATTTATAAACTATTGATATATATGTACTACTCACTGACATATACATTATTTTACACACAAAACAAAAACTTTAAAAATTATAACAATAAAAATAAATACAAGTTCTAATAGTTTCTTCACACAGCCCAATGACTTACTTTGTGAATGGACGGGAAACAAACTCCACTTTGGAAACCACTGTCATATGCTAAATAGCAAATTGGCACCGCCCAGAACTTGGCCTGTGTCGTGCTGGGACAGCACCACTGCATGAGAGTGAGGTCGGGGGCAGAAAGCACTCGCAGAGTGAGAATGGAAGGTATGTTATGAACAACAGAAAAATACTTTCACTAGAACTTCTTAGTGGACTCAACTTGGTATCTCGAGAATCAGGGTCAAGACCCAGTGAGAAACACCAGGCGAAGCGCAATCTCTCTCATTAAATGTTCTGGTCCCCAGATACCTCAGGTTGGCCTCACAGACAGAAATCCAGGAGTCTGTTGCTAGAGTACACGTGAGGCAGCAGACAAAATACTAGAGATTATATAGGGACGAGCTCTAAAGACCTTGCTGTTTCAAATTTAATGTTTTAAAAATCTAACTAATATCGACTGACTAAAAGATTACTCTGGTACCACACAGTTCTTCACTTCTGAAAATCTTCTATTAGACAAGAAGCCTTAAATAATCACTTTTCTAAAATGTCTGAGAGGATTGTGTCACAGCAATAATTAAACTGTACAATGTACTTTTTATTTTAATTCTTTTCTTCCAGTTTTATTGAGATATAATTTACATACCTCACTATGTAAGTTTAATGTGTGCAGCATAATGATTGGACTCACATACAAAGGAAATGTTTATTACAATAAGTTTAGTGAACATTCATCACCTCAAACAGATAAAAACTTGGAAAGTTAAAAAGAACTTTTCCCATGTGATGAGAACTCTCAGGATTTACCCCTTAACAACCTGCCTCTACAGCACACAGCAGTGTTAACTCTAGGTATCATGTTGCATATCACACCCCTAGTACTCATTTATCTTGTAACTGGAAGTCTGTACCTTTTGACGGCCTTCATCCAGTTCCCCTTCCACCCACCTCCCGTCCCTGCTAACCACAAATCTGATCTTTTTTCTTATGAGTTTGTTTTTGAAGTATGATCGACCTAAAACACTATGCAAGTTCCTGTTACACGACATAGTGATTCAATACTTCTATATATTTCAAATGATCACGATGTCTAGTTGCATAGTTATTGACTATATTCCCCACACTGTACATTTCAGACCGTGAATTTTGCAACTCTAATCTCCTCACCTATTTCTTTCCTCCCCTTACCGCCCTCCCTCTGGAAACCACCTGCTCTCTGTATCTATAACTCTGTTTCTGTTTTGCTATGTTTGTTCATTTGTTTTGTTTCTTAGATTTCATATTATCAGTGGAATCATACAGTATTTGTCTTTCTCTGTCTGACTTATTTCACCAAGCGTAATACCCTCTAGGTCTACCCATGTTGTCATAAATGGTTATATTTCAATCTTTTTTATGTTTGAGTAATATTCCAGTGTGTGTGTGTGTGTGTGTGTGTGTGTGGTGTGGTGTGGTGTGTGGATATATACACACATCACATCTTTACCCATTCATCTATTGATGGGCACTTTGGTTGCTTCCATATCTTAGCTATTATAAATAATGCTGCAATGAACATAGGGGTGCATACATATTTTCTAATTAGTGTTTTCATTTTCTTCAGATAAATACCCAGGAGTGGGATTGCAGGATCGAATGGTAACTCTATCTTTAGTTTTTTTAAGGAACCTCCCTACTGTTCTCCATAGTGGCTGCACCAGTTTACACTCCCATCAACAGTGCAGGAGGGTTCCTTTTTCTCCATACCCTCTCCAGCATTTATTATTTGTAGACTTTTTTTTTTTTTTTGCAGTATGCGGGCCTCACAACGCGGGCCCAGCCGCTCCGTGGCATGTGGGATCTTCCCGGACCGGGA